AAAAAGTATTTTTGTGTATCTTATCTATTTTTTTGTAATTTATCTGAATGCAAATACACGCTTATTCTATTCTATAAATTATCCAATGACAATTAAGATTTTTAATAAGCTGCCAATAAAATCTTAAAACGACAAACTGAGTATATTCAAGTCTGAGTTAAAAGAATGTAAGTCAACATTTACATTATATCTCAAAATTATGATTATGAATTATGAATACCATTATGATTGTTTTGTGTATATGACATTTTATTAAATCTTACTTTTATGTTGATGAAATTGAATTGATTTGTTTGAAATTTAATTAATAACATTATTATTATTGTAATTTCTTGAGTATTATAATTTTTTATACACGCCATTTCTCTTTAACATGTTTGTTGCCTAGATAATAAATTGTAACATTTTGTACTTTACATTTTATTTTTTATGTCGAAATAAATAAATGAATATTATACTACTTTTGGTTACTTTCACGCAAAAAAACTAAGGAATGGATTTGTATGAAATGTGGTATTAAATAACTGGAAGCCTGATGGGAATTAACTTAGACGCTACGTAAATTATAAAATCTAAGAGGTTACGTTTTACCACACTAAACGGATAAAGTACGAGTCCGAATTGTCTATAAAAGAACATTATTTTATCGAATTGTTATGAATATGTAAAACCAAATCACTTCAGCCATTACCAATTGATAAAATACTCCGTTGTAAATGGTACCAGTATTCGTTTTATTCGTTTAGATATTGGAATGCCTATCGCTTGGCATATTGCCCGCCATTTTAATTTTATGTTACCTGCATAGATAATAAAACGACTTAGCGTCTACCGAGAATTGATTTGGCGTCTGTTTCGAAAATACCTTTGCAACGACGAGAATAAAAATCTCATATTTAAATTAAAAAAAAAAATCACACAATAATATTTGTTTCGCGATCTCGTATGCGTTATTATTATAGCCTATGATTTTGTAATGGAAACAAACAAACAATCAGATCATTGTTCTTTATAATATACGAATTAAAAGTAAAAATATAAATAATTTAGAAATTGTACAAAGGTGTCACAATTTTTTTTTAAACTCAATGTGTAGCCGTTTATAAGTCACTCAAAAAATAAAATTCAAGTCAAGTTAAAATAATTTTAATTCAAATAGACTTCTTAAAAGTACTTTTGAATCGTCCAACATTTTTTTCCCTACTACTCGTTCAGAACGTCTTTTGGCTGATAAGAAGAACGAGCAAGAAACTCACCAACTCTAATAGGAGTAATGACATTTACAAAAACCATTTCATTACCAGATCAATACATTATAAATAGAGAGAGAAGAAAAAACTATGGTCTTATAATGATAACATAATCATTTAATAATAATGGAAACAAGATAATTTTTGATATAAAGTAATCACCTACAAGTTTAATATTCCTCAAAAATCTACTTGACAGACAGGTAAAATAAATTCACATCCGATTTTTGACATGTAATCGTTAATAGGTCAACAAATATCGAAGCGTGGGCGAAGTCACTAATGGAAAACTTTTATAACGATTTCTTTGATTACACATGACTGCAATAACCTTAAAAAAATATATACTAATCAAAGAGGTTTTATTATAACACTTATAACTCGAAAAAATATATACTAATCAAAGAGGTTTTAAATGGGCGCATCTATACTAATATTATAAAAAGGAAAGATTTGTTTGTTTTTTTGTTTGCTACAAATAAGTTCTGAAATTATTGGACCGGTTTTAAAACTTCTTTTCACCTACGGAAAGCTGCTTCATACGAGGTGGAAATAGGCTATATTTTATCCCGAAAAACAACAAATAAAGGAATGAAAATGGGAGTGAAGTTTGTATAGGGAATTAAAACGTTACTATAGAGACCATTGGTTACCATTCAATAGGGATGATGACTAATTTTTGTTTGTTTGTCCGTCAGGTAGAGTGTTAAAAAATATTAAACACGTATTTTTTTCGTAATCATAAAATTACGGCGTTACATTGAGTTGAAATTTCGCATGACGTCATGTTAGAGTACGTTTTCTACTCAACTGTGACGTAGCGAGCTCCCACTCCTCAACTTTAATGCCTGTTATCTAAGCTATTTCTTGTTAATTTGAAGTAAGAAAAAATACGTATCTAATGTTTTTCTATTATCTGACTCACGGACTAAATAGAATTGCATATTTTTTACCCAGTCATCATCCCTATTTGTCATTGTAATTATATCCGTGTCCTGACCAGCAATTCTGTAGAAATCAAGACCTGAATTCGAATTCACTCGTATCCGGATTCTGTTGATTCCAATTTTTTGTATAAAATCTAACAAACCTACGAGTAGCTCGGTGGCGTAGTGGATAAGCGCCGCGGCCCGCGATCGTAATCGTTAAGCAACTTTCACAAGGGTCGGTCACGGGATGGGTGACCAAAAATTATTATCTCGAGCTACTCCGTGCTTCGGAAGGCACGTTAAGCCGTTGGTCCCGGCTGCATTTGCAGTCGTTAATACCCTCCAATCCGCATTGGGCCAGCGTGGAGGGTCATGGCCCATCCTCCTTAACCATCCATAAGGAAGGCCTGAGCCCCTGCAGTGGGGACGTAAAAGGGCTGGTGATGGTGATGATGACAAAACAATATTGTTTGGATACACTTGTCTCGGATATTCTATTCGTATGTCGTTTCGAAACTCACTTCACTTATGCCACGAAACTTTATTACCGATTCAAGATTGAGCGGGTGCCGCTTTTTGACATGAATCCGGACACCTGAGTGAATTCAAAATCGAGTTTTGTTTTTTACAGAATAAAGAGTTCCCTAGGAATCGTCGCTGGCGGAAAATCAACGAAGACATTATAGGTACATAAGTGAATATATATAACACCTTTGTCTTTGATTATTTGCTGATACTACATAGAAAGCTCTCATGTTAAAGTGTTCAGAAACTCTCATGTTGAAAGCATTGTTACGAAAAACCGCAAAATTTAGAAAGTGACATTAAGTGCTGTAAACTTTACATAAAAATAAAGTACGCGGCATTCTAAAGTTATATACATACTGCTGACTCGATTTAATAATAAATTTCGTATGGTACTGTAGGCAAATTTTATAATATACATTCCATTTCAAATGTATAACCATTGTGATAGAGATTTACTTTTGAAAAATTTGAATGATCAAGAAATGTATATAAACTTAAACCCGCAGATAGAATTTCGTTTGACCATTTCTCGATAACTTTTAAAGATCCTTTAACAAATCCAATTAACATTAAATTTACGATACCATACATTTAATATCTTCAAGAAACGTGTATCTATCACGTCAAATAATTGAAGCGTGAAGGTCGTCAATATCTTTCAGATGTCAAATAAAAATAGATTGTTATCAATTACATAATTACACAATAGGGATGATGACTAAATTTTGTTTGTTTGTCCGTCAGGTAGAGTGTTAAAAAATATTAAACACGTATTTTTTTCGTAATCATAAAATTACGGCGTTACATTGAGTTGAAATTTCGCATGACGTCACGTTATGGTACGTTTTCTACTCAACTGTGATGTAGCGAGCCCCCGCTCCTCAACTTTAATGCCTGTTATCTAACCTATTTCTTGTTAAATTGAAGTAAAAAAAAATACGTATCTAATATTTTTCTATTATCTGACTGACGGACTGAATAGAATTGCATTTTTTTTACGCAGTCATCATCCCTATTATCCCCTAGTTGTGTGAGATGAAAATAATTGTTTTTTTCTTCGCTTATTTTCTTTTTGTGTGCGGTCATTAAATAGTTTGTTATTAACAGTTCCGGAGTTGTTCTGGTTGAATTTACGGGGTCCTAGAGTTCAACCAAAATGGCGACATATTTTCGGGTTTCTATCGTATTTTAATTAATTTTTTTTCTATTGTCTCTGGTCTCAGTATTCGTTACTCACATAATTAAGAGTTTATTATGCGTTTCAGTTACTGATATAATGACATTGTATGAAATTTTGTTGTAATTTTCCGCGTATATGTTTTTGTTCAAATTATGGTTTGACAAATTGAAATCAGATAATAGGATTATCTTAATGGATATATACGATATCGATTCTTTGGATTATCTCAAAGCGAAAAAAATGATTTGTCATAAGGTAAAAGAGAATTAATTCGAATAGAACTAAAGAGCAAGTAATTAATGCACATCCTTTCATTCCTATTTAAAATCCTTAAAGATCCTAATTCACCCCAATACCTTAGTTCCCGTTTCCAGAAGCTTCCTCCTCCTTACCATCCTAGGCGTCCCTGCGTCACCAAATCTCTTGAGCTACCTAAATGTAACACCAATTTCCGCCTCAAATCCTTTTCTGTTCGTGGTGTTCAACTATGGAACAGACTTCCCTTGAATATTCAGGATTGCCCTTCCATCATGTGTTTCAAATTTAAACTTAAAGACTACTTTCTGGAACAATGTTCGTATTCATGACACAGCTTTCATCGTACCTTATATATGTATGTATATATGTAGTGTATATTTTATGTATTATATATATCTATTTTTGTTATTTATTATATATATTTTTTTTCCAACCGTAATATAATTTAACTGCACTTCTATCACCCGCTTACATCTTACTCTCCCACGACTCCTAGGTTGGCTGGAAGAGATCTCTTCTAGAGATAAGCCCACCTTTGTAACAAATTTATTTACTTGTTTTATGTAAAATTTTAAATGCAATAAAGAGTATTCTTTGTTCTAATAAATTCTTTGTTCTAATAAAACTTCTCCTGACAATAGTACGAACTGAACCGCCATATGTAACTTATAATTTGCTAGGTATATGTAAACAGGATAAAGATAGGCACAACATAACATAGCGTTATTACAATATGCTTTTCTGCAATAAATTTGCAAATTACAATTTTATTTAGGCTCCCTTGATAAGGCATCATGGACTAAAAAGGAGGCACTAATGAAATGTGTTTTAACTAAACTATATATTTTGTTACAGAATGCGTAAAGGGAAATCTTGAATCGAAAATATGGGCAGTGCAAAGGTATCAAATGCCACACAATCAACTATGGCGGAAACGGAGAAGAAATCCATTAAGAAGCTCCTGAGAGAGCTATTTAAGATAGACAAGAAGAAAGAGAAAATCGCGCAGCCCGCCAATGTGGAGCCGGATAAGACTACGTCAACGCAAGTTGTTGAAAACATACTTGAGAAGATTAAAAAGCTAGATATAAAGGAGCAAGCGCACGAGAGCGAAGACGAGGACGAATTCAAGAACTTCACCTTCAAGACGGTATCTGTTGATAACCTCAGAGCGGACCGGTCTCAGTCACATTCGTCGGAAGACAGTGGCTTCGCAGAGAAATACGTGCCGGATTTGGAGGAAGGGAAAGAGAAAGAGAGAGACGATGATATAACGGTACCGTTTGAGAAATTGAACTTGAAAGATGGGAAAAGGGAGAAGAGATTGCAGACAGTGGTTATTGCTAGAGGCCCTATAAGACACAAAGGTGATTCGAACAGACAAACTGGACCTTATTCCGTGCAGACGGATACATGTCGACAGGTGAGTTCACTAGGGTTAACACTTATAATTATCAGGATTATTTTAGAAAATATACCTTGATAATAGCATAGATTTTTGTTTGTTTCTTGGTTAAGTAGATTGTTGAAAAATATTGAAATTAAATTAAGGCGATACCTTGTGTTAAAATGGCACATGGCCATGACGTCACGCTTTGGTACATTTTCTACAAAACTGTGACGTAGCGAACCCCCACTCTTCTTTAATGCCTGTTATCTAAGCTATTTCTTGTTAAATTGAAGTAAAAAAAAATACGTATCTAATATTTTTCTGTGTGACTGACGGACTAAATAGATTTTTTTTTACCCAGTCGTCAGCCCTGTTATCTTGATAATTATAAAACTACACAAACTCTTTTTGTACTTTAGGACTTCTTATTAAACGGGCATTACAATTATCACGTATGTGTTTCTAATAGGAAACTAGGATAGACCTATAAAACAAAAAACAAATTTAGAGGTCTCTTTTATTTAAATATATTTAATTTGTTTATTTATATTCTCATTTCACTTTTAGTTCAATGTTATTTCACAGTATTTTTCTTCCATTTTGTTTGTATATTTTTTTTCACAAAAATTAAAGTTTATACCTAATAATGCTTTTCTGTATTTTAAAAATCGTTGTCAGTAACTACCGTTAATTATCAGATATTTATCGAATAATTATTAAAAAAAAAATATCTTGATAATTACGAACCCTGACTTGCACAGTTTCACTCGATAACTAATTAACAGCGTAATTCCGCTAATATATACGTAATAACACCTCAATAGCATTTTCCCATTGAACTATCTACCTGAAGTACAATATTATTATAAATCTGTCACCATTGATGTGTGATGAAGACATTGCACATTAGCATAATTGATCTGTAGAAAAATGAATATTTAAGGGCCTCATATGCTACGTGATTCCTTTGCTTGTTTTTGCTCGATGTCGATAACGACAACAGGTAGATGTATGAAATAAAAATTAAGTATTAAAAAAAAATTAGTTCCCGAATTCATACTAGATGTCGCTACGGTACGTTCTTGATTACTCCATGACAACCCTTCCGGTTTTCTTTCATGTTTAAAAGTAATTTAGTTTTCAAAACTCAATAAACAACTCTTATTCTATTTGTACTTTGTCGTATTTGAATTGATATCTAAGTTTCGAACTTTGCAAATTTCAGTTTTTTAATATGTTAGTTAAAAGGAACGGAAATGACTGTCTTTAGTCCATTCTTTTCCTGCAAAAATCAACTTTTGCTAGAGTCGCCATCTAGTGGAGGTGCTTTTTTTGTGCTTTCTTTGTTTTAAATATTCCTCATTGGACGTGCATAAGAAGAAAGAAGTTAACATTTTTTGTACATAATAAAAGATGAAATATAACGCGTTTCTATTAACCAATGTTTATTTCTCTACACAAACTTCATATTGAAATGATCTTTTGTCCTTTATTCAAACAATTTAAATTCAACACGCAAATTTTCCCTGAATTATCGCAATCCTATAAATAGTACAGTAGTTTTCCGTTATATCAAATTGTTAATGCCAATTAGTATATGAATATTGACGTCATATGAAACCACGAACAAATATTATTTATTAAACTCAGAACTATAACCAGTAAATTCTAAATATTTGCTATATTATAATAAATATTAATAATTAACCAAATGCCGTTACATTTTTTTTGGATGTCAATTTTTATTATAAGTATTTCTCACAATTAATACTATATGCATGAAGATTTCTATATACTACTAAATGGAGTGTTATTATGACAAAATAAAAAAGCCTTTTATTTCCAGATTTACATTAAGAGTAAAGATTATTTGCTGTTATAGGTACCTATAATTTGTATTTATATATTTTACTAGAATGACTTGGTACTTATATCTAATTATATCTATGTACTAATGATGTTATTATTTATTCTAATTTCTTATTATTACTGGAACCCCTCTCAGGTAAAGGCCTCCTCCAAAGTTTTCCATTTTTCTCGATCTTGGGCTATTTGTTGCCATTTTGAACCAGCTATTTTTTTCAGATTATCAGACAAAATAATAATCTTATTATTAATTCAATACTATTTTAAAGCCATTTTTACGATTACCGGTTATTATTTACATTGGGCTCACTTTTGACCTTAATCTAGCCTAAGGATGAAATCTACGGTGGGACGAGCTTGCCTAGAAGGACCCTATACTCTCTTGCCTTAAATAGGTCTGGGTTATATGCATTCGGGAATATAGACGCCGGCAGGGAGTTCCACTCCTTAGCAGTGCGCAGTAAAAAAGACGAAGAAAAGCGCTTTTTCGCGGCATCTTGGAATATCAAATAAATGAGGATGGTATCCCGCCGTGCGTCTAGTTTCCCGATGGTAAAATGCTGAAGGCGGTTCATTAAAATTGCACAGTGTGAACTAATCCTAAAACCTAACAGAGTTGTGAATGTGTCGATCTTATAATCCATGTCGAATTGGCGCTAAAAAACGTATTGACAAGTTGAGAACTGGCGAAGTGTACGAGTGCGGTTTGTGAATCGGTTGCCTTTAATACAACCGGTTAATGTTTAAAGATTTTTAGTATTAACGAAAAATTTTGCTAACTGTCTGCTTCTTCTAATGGAGCGATATTAATATCAATAACTTGTAATTCATACACTTATACTTTCTTTTCTTACGTACATTATATTTATTTAATTTAATATTACCTATGTTATTGCACATACTCCTTTACCTATCCTATCTATTGTTTTGTCTATCACTTGCCCGCAAAAGATTGCTGCATATTAATAATACCGCCATTTGTATATTGTCCTTAATATTGTTTTTTCTTTTTAATGTGTCCCAAGTTTGTGTGCTATTGGAATATTGAAAAGAGGTGGCTTACACAATAATATTAAAGATCAATTTGTTGTCATTATAAATCACTCTTATCATTGAACTTAACCGCCAACGATAGCGTAAAGAAATTACGTTATCTAAATATTATCGATCATAAGATTATTAATCAGTGTTACTAATTGTCACTCCATTAATTTAATTTTATCGGGTGATATCAAAAACAATAACCGGTAAGCGTGAAAAGATAAGTCTGTTGACTCGCGCACGAAAGGTTACGTACCGGTAAAAAGCAATCACGTGTTGTATGGGAGCCCCCTTAGATATTTATTTTATTCCATTGCCATCGAACTACCGCGTCGCTTACCAAATGAGCTTTTGCGTCATCAATGTACTCTTATATAAATAAAGAATAAATTTCAATATTAATTTCAACTTTAGATATTTTTTCTGATAGATCATATTATGTATACTGATCACGCACTACGCCATATCAATTATTTGAATATAATTGAACAATAAATATATTAGACAACATAATATAGATAAACGATCATTCATTGTTTCAAAGCCAAATTTATTAGTTACTAATGATTAACATATAAAACCGTTGAAAGCTTTTGGCTCATTAATTACTTTTTTTTTAATTATCTAGTAGTATACATAGAATTTTATTAATAATGCTTATATTATTTTCTCTTTGTTTACATAACATCTTAATGTGAATAACAGGTTTTATTAAACTAGCATAATTAAAATATTTTTAATGAAAAATTCTTAAAAAATCCTCTTTGTCCCTGGCGCTCTAAGATGGGACTCGATCCATGGAATTTCGCAATCCGAGCGACTGCTCTAAAGGTGTCTATGGGTTCGAGTTCTATCTCATAGTGCAAGGGACAAAGTGGATTCTTTAAGCATTTTTTTATTAAGAATATTTTTCAGTATTACATTGTGAAAATAATAGTAACCAAATATAATTAAATACTGTTAACATAACAAAATTTAATTGCGTAACATAGGACCTTATGGTCGCGTTAACAACTATGCTAATTTTAAGAGTAAAACAGTGTGCCGTTAGTTATTTCCTTTGGACATAACATATACAGATATTGTAGATTTTTTGAAGATGATTTTATGGCTTTTGTAATGGAAAAGTGAGACTAATTGATAAAAAAACCTAGCCTAACCTTTTTAGGTTTTCTCGTGAATTTATACATATTGAAAAAGTTTAATATGTGAATATAATCATTAAAAATAATTATGTTATGTCTTAAACTATAATAGATAGCAAATATCCTCCAAATCATTGCCAACAGGTAACGTGCCCAGAAGGTTGCGAGCATTTCCTCTTTGAATAATAGCCAAACTAATTCTGTGGGCAAGGTACAAACCAGCCTTCTGATAGACCTGTTAAAAAGTTACTTTTTGTTTCTTGACGTAAACGATGGGCTCCGGGGCCCCACGGACCTGTCGTTTCGACCCCAAACGGCTCAAATATGTAGGTAATACTTATGCTTGAATATTTTCGCCGTTTGAGGCTTTCTGCAGTAGCGGTGAGACATTTTCGTGGTAGATTACACAGACGAAGTCGCAGAAACAGCTAGTATTTCTATAATAATAAATAACATCATCTTTATCTGTCCACAGATCCAAATAAACAAGCACACACTAACAGGCGGTCAAGTGATAGTCAATCCAAGAAACGTAGACTTCTTAGAATTCGATAATGCCCTCAAACAAGTGCAACAGACGTCAGAGCAATCCCACCACGAGTATGGCGGGGAATGGCTCAACATCGTCTCTGAATATATACGAGAAGACTCGCTCAAGAACTCAAATGAAGGTAACAATATGCTATCAGAATTCCTGCAATCAGAAGAACTGCAGAGCAATTGCGAGAACATTATCTTAACACCACCACACCAAGCCCCGGAGATATCACAGCCCAACCCGATTGAGGAGTTCACGAATCACATACAGAACGAGTTGTTTGGAGATGTTTCAGATTTGACGATATTGAACGAGCTAGCTGATATACCTGACAATCAAAATCAATACTTCTTGACGCCACCACATTCTGTTAACGCGTACAGTCCCATGTCAGATTCTGCTTCTTACAAGAATTCTGATTATACTTATTCCCCTGGAAGATCTTCTATATTGTCGCCGGAAAGATCTTCGCCTATATGCAGTGGTGATTACGAGAAGTTCCAAGAGATAAGCCCATACGAAGACACTTCTGGCGCATGCAAGAAGAGCGTCGAACGAAAGGATTCGGGCTCTTCTATGACGTTGAAGCAATACAAAGATTTGCAGAGGGAGATAACTCATTCTTTCTCAAAGAAAGACTGCTGTCTACTCGAGAGGACGACGTGCAAACAGATCTTCCTGGAATACTTGCAACGGTTGAGCCAGGAGCAACGGAAAAACATGTGCCTCAAAGTCGCCAAGTTGGATTTGAATAACGCTTACGGGTAAGAAGTTTTAATAATTTTTCTCTCTCACACACATACACACATGCACGCACACACACGCACGCGCAAACACACACACACACGCACGCGCAAACACACACACACACACACACACATACACATACACACATCAAACTGTGCACATTAGCGTAATGTGCAATGTACGAATTTCATACTTTTTGAATGTATAAGCGAAGGTAGAGGTAGCTCGGTGTCGTAGTGGATAAGCGCCGCGGCCCGCGATCGTTGTTGTTAAGCAACTTTCGCAAGATTCGGTCATGGGATGGGTGATCAAAAAAAAAATATATTTTCTCGAGCTACTTCGTGCTTCGGAAGGCACGTTAAGCCGTTGGTCCCGGCTGCATTTGCAGTCGCTAACACCTTCCAATCCGCATTGGGCAAGCGTTGAGGGTCATGGCCCATCCTCCTTAACCATCCATAAGGAAGGCCTGAGCCCCTACAGTGGAGACTTAAAAGGGCTGATGATGATGAATGTATAATAAGAAAAAGTGTAATTGTAATCAATAATAAATCATTGCAGCTTATATGGATGTAAGAAGGAAAGGAATCATTCATTTCCAAAAGACATAATGTTGGGAAAAATTGTTTATATACTATACCAGTGATGGGGAAAGTACGGCCCGCGGGCCAACTCCGGCCCGCAAAAGTATTTAATCCGGCCCGCCGAGGGTCCATCGACATAGATAGTATATGGCCCGCTATAATTACGTTTTGACGGTCGAGAAGTCAAAAGTAGATTCTACTTGGTAGAATAATTGATGCATAACTTATAGGTGAAGCTAAACTAGCCGAGTAATTCATGTTTTGCGTTTTACGGGGCGCAGAGTGGTGAAATGATCGGCGCGGGTGGCGGGGACGAGTGAATTCAATCAAAAACAATTCCACGTGTCTCACACGCCTAACATGACAGGGCCGTCGAATAAAAGTTAAATTAATTATTATTCAAGGTAAAAGGTAATTTGTAACATTTGTGTGTCATCACCATCACCAGCCCTTTTACGTCCCCACTGCAGGGGCTCAGGCCTTCCTTATGGATGGTTAAGGAGGATGGGCCATGACCCTCCACGCTGGCCCAATGCGGATTGAAGGGTATTAACGACTACAAATGCAGCCGGGACCAACGGCTTAACGTGCCTTCCGAAGCACGAAGTAGCTCGAGATATTAATTTTTTGGTCACCAATCCCGAGACCGACCCTTGCGAAAGTTGCTTAACGACAACGATCGCGGGCCGCGGCGCTTATCCACTACGCCACCGAGCTACACATTTGTGTGTAATGGACTGCAATGCTCACATAATGTTTTTATAATATTATTATTAAAAGCTTTAACACAAAATCCATTTTTTTTCTATAATTCTGGCCCTCCTCTAGAATTTTTTAAACTTTGTGGCCCCCCATTAAAAAAGTTTGCCCACCACTGTACTATACTCCATTCATTATAGCATTAGACAGAAGTTAAATAAGGTTCTTTTTATGGTATACTTTGTGACAAAATATCAATAATCATGTTACTCTTAAGACTGACGGCTAATTTACTACATATTCACTTAAATACCAGCTGCTATACTTAACTGTTGTTATTTAAGCAATCTATTAAACAAATTTATGAGTATATGATTAACTTAAATGATTAACTATTACAATAAAAAGTGTTCATCTTAAAGAACCCAAAGAAGCAATAAAACGTTGCCTAATCCTTTCAAATGTTTCGGCAGTACATTTTTTTAATTTTGTCAGATATATTAAAATACGTAATCTGGGAATGTTATCCATTGTGAATGCTACTGCTTTTCTTGTTCTCCGTTTTCCGTGATTAAGTTGTTATTGTTTTATATTAGTTTTGTTTTTGTTGTTAAGTTGTATTAAATATGAACGATGCTGGTGCAGGCCCGAGTGGCCTACAACAATTACGCTCTAAGCCCCCATACCTACCAACCTTTGACATTTCAAGAAGTTTTTTCAATGTCTGCATCGATAGTCTAATGTCTGAATAAATGTTATAAAACTAATAATAAAAATCTCATTTTGTTTACCTTTCTTTACTGGGCATAGATATAACTAAATTATATTCTAATTATAATCAAATCAACAGATAGATAGTTTTAATTCCATGTTGGCTTGGGAGTAAAAGAAGAATTTAGAAAATACTGGCCTCATCTCAACCCCGAAATATCGTAAAATATAGAAAATTGCTCGGCTCTCAGACTATCTAACGTTCAAAGTTTCAACAAAACTATAATGCATATTTTTTTAAATTTATTTTGAAAATAAAATGTTCTTCACTGCTGCTTCTATGACCCTCTTTTTTCTAATGTTATAATGAATGGAGTATAAACTAGCATTCCGACAGAGGCTTGTACCTGTATTATACATAAAAATCTTATGAATCACTATTCATAAAAGCGTAGTTTTTAAAGATGTGTACATATTTTTGCCTGTTTTCTATTACGAGTAATATATTGTAAATAAGTGTAATAAAAAAATTAACAAGTTTTAAATATCTACCGAACTATTTGATCTGACCTTCACGGTTTTACACGGTTCATTGAGCATCAAAATCAGATGTTCCCAAACTATTTTACATAGAACCTCACGGGTCATACTAGCTGACGGTCACGCGTTACCGCGGCTTACTGCCGGTTTCAATAACTTACTATATCCGTAACTGGAGATTTAAAGTATACCTGTCTTTGTTGTTTACAATGTAAAAGACAGTGACAGATATACTGTCAAATCTCCAGTTACGGATATAGTAAGTTATTGAAACCGACCGTAAGGCTGAAGTTCACAGACTTTCTAATCAACTGATTAGTACTTAATAAGTTGATTAAAGACATTTTTGTGTTCATTACACACTAATCAATTGATCGGATCTTTAATCGGGCGAACTTAATGGAGCCATACAACCCCGTTTAAACGTCACTATATTGACTTATTGGATTTTTGGCGGGAATTTCGAGTGAGAGGACGCAAAATTTATTTATTTAAGTTAGTTAGAAATTGCTCTTTAGCGATAAGGCCGCCGATTGTACAACTAAACTGTATAAATTGTATTTTCTCTATAATTTATGGTGTACAATAAAGAATTTATTCATTATTCATTCATTCATTAGGACACAAAACAGTTCACACCCAAATTGAGTTTAATTTACAGCAATTCAAGTATTTTATAAACTAGATTGTAAACCAAATCTTTGTGGCCTTATCATGACAATTAAGGTTGCATAATAGTATATTATATTTTTCATGCATAAAATAAAGAATAAAATTAGATTATATTAAAATTAATTACATTAATTTACAAATTAATCCCAAAATTATATTTTATTAGTGACTACAACATCGAAATTAATAAAATAACCAATAATTACACATTCAACATGATTCAAAAAGCACATCGGTAATACATCGCTTAAACAGACCAAGGTACGTTCTTAATGTCCAAGCTTTCCAGTTTTAAAATTATGAATTATTAAATTTTCCTTGAAAACATTTCTACTATTTGTCTAATTTTATTTGTAAATAAGTTATTGTAGTTTAAATAAGATATTTCTAAATAGAAAGCAAATTAGGCTGGTGAACACGAATTTCTTTGATGGCTATTTAAACAACGGTTACAATTTAATCGACTGATTTCTAAATCTATGTTTAACCGACACCCAAGATTTGGCTGTATGGCTTAGTTCCTTCGCCTGTCCCATGGACGAATTATAATACTACTACTACTGTTTAACCGACAGACGGTGAACTCCAGCCTAACTGTTTTGCGGCGATTAAGCTCGCTTTATTTATAGTATATGTCACGCGCGTGATGAAGCTTCTAAGGTGAAAGAATTTTAAAAATCAGTCCACTAGTTACGGAGACTTTTCGATGCAAACAAACTCTGCCACGAAGGTAGGCGAAATTAAATTGACTACGCGTAGTTTAAATAAAAGACACATTAAACATTAATTAATATTTCTGCGTAATAAATCGCGCCAAGACAATGGAATATTTCTACTACTCGATTGATAATCCTAGCAACGATGTTGTCTAATGAGAAAGTATTAAAAAAAACATTAGTTCCCGAAATCAAACTAGATGTCGCTATGGTACGTTCTTGATTTCTACATGACAACCCTTCCGGTTTTCTTTCATGTTTAAAATTAAATTAGTTTTCAAAACTCAATAAACAACTCATAAATTCTATTTATAATTTTTCGTATTTGTATTGATATCTAAGTTTCGAACTTTTCAAATTTCAGTTTTTTAATATTTTAGTTAAAAGGAACGGAAATGACTGTCTTTGGTCCATTCGTTTCCTGCAAAAATCAACTTTTGCAAGAGTCGTCATCTAGTGGAGGTGCTTTTTTAGTGCTCTCTTTTTTTTTAAATAGTTCCTCATTGACTACTTATCGGTTAATATATAGGTTATGGTCCATGTGATTAATGCGGGCATTATGAATAATGTCTAGCTCTATCGGGCTAAGTGATTAATTTATATCTAAACTTAATGATTTATAACATTGAACGGTCATTGTTATATTCCTCTACGATAATTAGACAATTTGATAATAAAGATAAATTTATATTAAATTGTATAAAATGTATAATATTTTGATAGTAAGTTCGAAACGTCGGGAAATATAGGTAGATGAAGAACCTAACCATCGAAATCTACCGTGTTAATACCCTCTTATAGAATATAATATAATGCCACACGAAAGTTTAAAAGTTTATAAAGATAAATTTGTCGCGGTGCGGGGAGAGAAGAATGCATGCCACGGTTTACTATAAGATGCTTATTATGCCAAATAATTTATCTGATTGTTAATTATTTTTTCCAACAGAAAAAAAAGCGAAGTTATTTTGCCCCTGTAGGTCACGTAATAGGTTAGAAAGACGATCATCCTTAATTTCGAGGTTTTCTTTAAATACATAACGGTAAAGGTTTTTTATTATATATTTTTCACGAGAAACGAAAGTTTAAAGATTATAA